TCAATGTTTTTTTTTTAATTCGTGAGCCAAAGATTATTGTTTTTCGCTTCGATCGCGCGTAACAAAAATAAAAAAAAAAGATTCATCAATAAAGGCATACGATATGACACTGACTTCGTCACGAAGATAAGCTGATCAATGTCTGCGTTTTCTTTGCAAAACCCGATTAGATCGGCTAAATTGCATAATGTCAATCTTTTCTTAACAGTAAATCCTTTCCTCTAAATTGTTTGCTTTGAGATTTTATTTCCAATTTATTTCCGCAAATTTTCCCTTAATTAACTATTCATTTGGAACAAACCTGTGATTTTGCATTGTTTAAGAGCTTGAAATTCGTCTGACAAGATAAACATGCGGTGTCTCCTTTTCAATGAAGCAAGATAGAGGATAGATATTGATTGCAAGAGAGCTTTTAGAAGATTTTGACTCTGATGTTATTCTTTTACGTTTTCTGTAAACATAGAATTACCATATAAAAGCCTGCATGCATATGAATGAAAATGTACATAAGAACTTTGATCTGGGCAAGCTAAAAACCTGTATTTTTACTGCTTGTTGTTAAAACTGCATATTGGGTTCAAACGCAGACAGTCTGTAAAATTTATCATATCTTTAAAACAAGCTCTGTGATTGGATGATGTCGCAGACCGCTTCCCCGCTCCACGTGACGTCAGCCATACTTCCTGCTACTTTTTGCTTATTTAAGCCTATTTGAATTCGTGCGTTTCGTTTCGGGAGAGAGATTTTGTCTATATGGCAAATATTTTCTCCAGTATTTGCCTTCCTAGATAGAGAGAGTCAGATTTGAAGCGAATTATCTCGGTCATTGCGAGCTTCGTAGTTCTCCGCGTCATATCGCCAATCATCTTCCAGGTCTTTATAATCACCAAATACGTACGCAATTTCCCAACGTAAACAAATCATGAAATTCAATGAAACACAATCCTTGTTGCACTTTTAAGAGTGACTGAGCGCAAATTCTTTATTTCTGATCTATTTCGTAAATGAAAAGCCTGCAATTACAAGGCTGTTCTCCAGAGAATACTATCAACCACAGTGATCAAAGAAAATGAAAAAGGAAAGTTAATCAGATGCTTTCAAACAGCTTGTGTTATGGGTAAATGTTGTCGTTTCTAGAAATCTCCAGACTGCTGAGTCATCGTAGAACCTTCCAGAACATTTCTTCAAGTCACGTATTTATTATTTAATATTACTTAAATAGTTCTTGTGTAAGCTTCTGGAATGTTCCAGGACACTGTGAATATATATATATATATATATATATATATATATATAT